AAAATATTCCATTGCAATAATTGCCTGGAGAGTTGAGTATCTTTTGCTTTCAACATGGTGTTTTCTTAATGTCACTTCTGTATTTTAATTTTCATTTAAAAGATCCCTGAAGGTGAGCATCTTTGGAATTTGTATATCTTGTCATACAAGTGATTGATCAGCTGCGAGTCCTTCTGTGGATTAAAAAAAAGCTTTAGATCAAGACATGTTATGTTCTAATTTTTAAGATAATCTGTTCTTGACCGTAAGGCTTGAGCACTTTTTGAATCCACACTCAAAGCACCCCTACCTACCTCTTAAGATAGTAAGAGTCATTACTCAGTGATTGGGAAATAAGGATTTTCTTGGGGCTTTTGGGGCAGGTGGAGCCATGTACCTCTTTCACTCTACAACATTTCCCTGTTGAGTTGCTTTACACTCCTTGTTTTTCTTAGCTTGTACATTGGAACTGCTAGAAGGGTTAAATCTTAAAACTAAGTTCTCAAAATTCAGACCAAGTTCAACACGCACATTTGCAAAATGCCTGGATGAAGATAATGGAAGTGGAAGGAAGCTGATGGTTATACCTGCTTGCTAGCTGGTGTTTCCGTCATGCTTCTAATGATGGCTTGTCTTTTCTTGTTTCTTTTTTTCTTTTGTAAGTAGCATCTCTTTGAGGCTATTTTCTAAATTTCTTTTGAACTATTCTGTGGAAAAAAGTATTACCTGTTGTAAAAATTTACTATATTTTTCATTTTGTGTGTAAAAATAATACTACTTACTTGATTAGCTTTTGGTGTTGCCACATGCCATTCACTATAACTGATACTCTGTGGTTGGAAAAGGACACTGGCAATCTCATTAATTTATTTCTCACCTTTTCATGAAGTCTTGATGCACATGTTGAAAAAGATGAATTGTGCTCCTTTATTCTAGGCTTTCTTGTCACCATAGTTTTCAGGGGTGAAGTTAGAAAAGGGGCAAAGCTAAGGATATATGAGAGATTGTACCCATTTCTATGGGATTTTTGGTTCTACTTGTTTGGTTCGGATTTTTGATACATGTGGATTGCCTTCCTTTCTACATTTAGCCCTTTTAGGGGGGGGTGTGTGTGTGTGTGTGTGTGCATATATATATATATATATTTTTTTTTTTTTTTTTAGCTTCACAGTGCTTTGTAAGTGATAAAACATAAATGTGATGGAAGGAGCGGGAGTTGTGAGGCACAGGGTTGCTTGCAACCTTGCTCTGAACTGCATCACTGGGTGTCGTAGTTTGAACCCGATCGGCAGCCAAACACTCCGCAGCCGCTCGCCCACCCTCCCCTGCCTGGGAATGGGGGCAAGAATTGGAGGGGTAAAGGGAGACTCATAAATTGAGATAAAAGCAATTTAATATTGGTAATAAAATAAAACAATAACAATAATAGAAAGTACAAACGGGCGATGCACAATGCGATTGCTCACCAACTGCTAACTGATACCCAGCCCGCGCCCAGCTAGTGATCCCAGAATACCAGGATCCTGCAGTCGTAATCCCAGAAGTGAGAGAGAGCCTCCTCCTTCCCGGCCTCCCCTTCTCTCTATGCTGAGCGTGATGTTACATGATACGGAATATTTCATTGACCAGTTTGGGTCTGGTGCTCTGGCCGTGCTCCCTCCCTGCTTCTTGCACACCTGCACCCGGGCAGGACGTGGGGAGTTGGAGAGTCCTTGAAATCTCAGCAACAACCAAACACATCAGTGTGTTATCACCGTTTTTCTCATACCAAATCCCATACTGAATCCAAAACATAGCACTGTTCTAGCTACTAACAACATTAACTTTATTCCAGCCCAAACCATGACACCAGGCTTGTGGTATCGTAGTCTGAAGCTGAGGGATAAACTGGGGTGTGCCGGACTGCTTTGAGAGGATTTGGGCTGAAGTTGGGAAAGGTTGACATCTCTTTGACATTGTGGGGTCTGGCTTTGCACCTCCAGTCTTTCTGAACTGAGTGACTGCTGATTCTTCTGCATTCTGCAGAGGCAGATGAAGGAGGGAGACGGGAGCTTTAACACAAAACGAGTGTTACTTAGGGATCCCTCTCTAATAGCTAGGGAGCGGAAACATCATTAGTGAGCCTTTCGGGTGGAAGTGAGCTGGAAACTGTGGCGTTCGCCGTGTCCTCAAGGGTAGAGCAAAGGAGTCTCCTACTAAAAACAAAAGTGAAGCCCCTGCAGAGGTAGGTCCTGTTGAATTATGCTGAGGCTGTTAACTCCTGCATGGTGTGGGGGCATAGAGCAATCTTGTGGCACGTTGGTCACTTTAATGACTGGTCTTACTGAACGCAGCACACCTGGGATTTCTTGTTGCTCTGTGGGCTCTTATTCACTATTGTTGTGGCCAATATTGCTGCAAAAAATGAGGCAGGGATCCTAGTGTTGCTGCTATTCAGGGCATTTACCCTGACTGACTGCTTTTTCTGTTTCTGTCTGCGATGACGGAGGTGTAAATCTCTTGCTTGCCTGAGTTGCTACAAATCCACTTTCCAACTACAACTTCTTAATATTTTGGTTTGGTTGTGTGTGGTTGTTTTTTGTTGTTTGTTTTTTTTGTTTTTTTTTTCTCTCCTATGGATTTGTTGGCAGAGGTGTGCTTTCTGTTCTTCAGTTTTTGTTACACTTCCCATTTCTGTGTAAGATGACTTTGAAGTAGCCATCTCCTGTCAGCTCTCCCCCTTGCTCAGGCAGAAGTCCAGGCTTCCTGGGTGTTCCTGCCTATAGTTGTGCCTCTCGACCTCATGTTTGACCCTACTTTAATTGAATGTTCATGTTGTGCTCTGCGGATAGCCATCTTTAGTACGGAGTGAAAAGGTTTTATTGCTGCTTGTTTATATAGACTGTAAGAGATGAGAATCGCCTGCTGTAAGCTTTCAGCACCTTTTAACAACTGCTCAAAAATTCATCTGCACATAAAACCAAAGCGAGCAGCAGGCACTTGCATTTCTTAGCAAGAAATGTAAGTGAGGAGTACCTCTCGGCACACCTAAATCCATCTTTTCATCATCTCTCAGGGTCTTGTGACATGCCCAATGGTCTGTGAGCCAGGGCTGTTTGAAACTGAAGACTGCCAGCAGAGAAGGTGTTGCCAGGGGCAGAACCTGCTTGTTTTTAAGGAGGGTGGTATGCTCCGGGGAGCTGGGTTTGGCTGCTGGAGTACAGGCTTTCGAATAGGCAATACCATTTTATTTGCTCTTGATTAAAGTCCATGCCTTTAAACTAGATGGGTTGGCAAGATGAAAGTAGTCTTCTAGTCCTCCCCTCGCTACCCAGCAAACTTCAAGTCTAGTGCCCCCAAAACATACACAAAGACAAGCTCTTCTGGCCCAAGTGCCTTCTACCTGTCAAACAGCTTTTGCCTAAGTGATTCATGGAAGTTTCTTCATCTGACTGGTGCCTGCCCAAGCCACCTTACATTGCTGGCTGGAAGTGAAGTCTTGTGGTGTTTGGGGTATTTTGGTTTTGATTTAGTTCTTCTGGTGGTTACTGGTCTTTGTATGCAGCACGGCTGCCGTGCCTTCCCCAAGTTAACAGATAGGTCAAAAGGATTGTTTTAAACTTTGAGTGCTCACTGCATTTAGGTTCAGTAAACTCACCCTCTTCAGTAAAAAGGCTGCTGAAAATTTCCACTAAATTAAACAATTGTGCTGCAAACACAATTAAATTGCGATCTCTTCAAAGCATTTGGACAGGCTTCTGTTAACTGGAAATCTAGTTTATCCCACGGTCTTTGGATAATCTCAAGACCCATTGTACAGTAACTAATACGGAGGGTTTATCAAATGGGTTATTTAGCTGTGGCTTTTTGTTTTGTTTTTTTTTTTTTTTTTAATAGCATGTGATTTTGTTTTGTTTAAGAAATGAAGATGTTTAAGTTTCAGGTGGAGCGAGGCTGGCACTTCTAATACTGCAGGTATTTCAGGTTCATCTGTCTAGGATAGGATACTTGTAACCTACTTGTGCCTATCTTCTGCTTGAAAAAAAAAATTGTCTATTCTTGCAGAATCACTTTTTACGCTTTTTCTAATGATTTGCTTATTCAATTAATTAAAAAGAGATCGGTATTATTTTCATTTGCTGTTATTAATTGTAAACTGTTACTGGTTCTTATTTAACAAATGTAACGTTGAGTATTATAGAATGGCAGGAATAAGAATGGCATATAATAAGAATGAATGTCTGTGGATTTCTGTTGGCACTTGTTTAGAGTATATAGCTCATCACTATTTTGATCTTTCTTTTATTAAGTAGCAGTGCAGAACTTGCTGCTTCGCTGTTTTCTGTATGCGTTACATGTTCAGAAATCAATTTCAAAAAGCTCAATACCTTTTTTAATGGAACTGACGCAGCGCCGAGGAAATGATACCAGCACCCCTGATCACTTCTCAAACTTCTGAAAACCACATTTCTTGTGAACTAAGCGTTGATGAGATGATTTAAATTAAATGGCATCAGTCACCATTTTCTGTGATTGTCACTATTTAAAATCTGCCTTTTGCTTTCTATGGATGCCTTTGGGTTTCTTTTTCTTTTCTAAGGTGAGCTATATTCCTAAATCCTTGCCTTGCTGTGCATCCACCTTATTTCCTGGCCTCCACCCGTGTCTCAGCTAGCAACTGCCACCATGGCAACTCTTCCTCTGGCTGAACAGATGGGACTTTGAGTCTCCTCCGAGAGCAGAGCAGAGCACTGCTCGTGCCCTGCCGGGAATCAGCTGGCGGGTTGCACTCCTTTCTGCAAAATTTAAAGCAAGCTCTGCCCAGCAGAGGCATTCTGGTTTTGAGGGTGCTCAGTTTCACAAATAATACCGTGGTCTAATAGTTGCTTGCAGAAGTAAAACGTAGTGGCTGGACTGGGATTATTTACGTGCCTGAAAGCTCTTCAGAGGAGCTTTACCTTTAGTGTGAAGAGCTTGGCGTCAGCCAGCAGCCGGTGATTTTCTGGTAGAATGGTTGCCATCAACTTTTTTTTTCTCTTTAGGATGCGTCAGGATGAAACGCCACAGGCATCTAAGCACCAGTGACAGTTCAGACAATGAGAGTAAGTAATACCTACCAGTTTTTCTTTGGTCTGTCACCCCCTTGTGGTTTCCTTCTGTGGTTTGAGGTCAAACAGTTTCACCTCTTATAATTAAAAATAAAATTATTTCTTGCTTGATTTTTTTTTTTTGCGTTCTGAATCCTGTTACAGGAGGAAAATGAAGCAAAGGATCCTGTAAACCCAGCGGGAGTTTTGAGTCTACTTAGAATTTGGAGAGAAACTTGCATGTCTTTCCCTTTCAGAGTTGGGAAAAAGAAGTCTGTAATTCAGGAGAAATTTTACTCTCCAGGGCCCGATTTTGTAATTATTTTTTTTAAAGGAGTCCTGTTATCTCTTCTCGTGCAGAGCCTCAACTTCAAAATTACTGGGGGTGGCAAGCTATTTGAGCGTTGCTGTGTTAGAGTTATATATAAGATAGAGTTATAACCAGTATATTGCTTGTTATCCTCTCTTATACTGGTTCTTGATATATTCCACTTTGGTCTGTTGTACAGTTTAGTAAAGTTGTATTTTAATTTTCCTTGGCACACATCTGCCTGAGGTTGCATCTTCCCATTTTATCCACAACCTCCCCGTACCACCTTGACCTGTATGGCAGGGTCTTGCTTGTTTTTTATAAACCTGTGCCTATCTAATAACTCTATACATAATGATGATTCGTTGTAAGTCATCAGTGTATCCCGTACAGAAATAACATTTTGCTCAGAAATGCCTAAACATCACACTATGATTTTTTTTGCATGTCTCATCAGCATGTTTTAGTATCATTGCTTTTTGTTTGTTTTTTTTTAGCACTTACATACTCTGTCCTTGGTTTTGCTTCTCCTTCCGCTTTGTTAGAAAGGAAATGAAGGAAAGTGGTCTGCCTGCTTGTTTTGTGTTTACTCATGCTTGTATTGGGTAGAGCAGAATGTACCCATAAACTCAACATGCTGTGGTTTTACAAAGAACAAGTGGAACAGGAGGAGCAGTAATCAAGCCTACAGACTGCCTAAGAGTTTTTTTGCCCACGTCTTGTCAAAAAATTATGATAATTCGAGAGATTGGAGTGCCTTGTGTTTTACTGAAAAATTAAATGAATTGAAATGAGCTATAATGGTCCTTTTTTCTTTCTTTCTTTTTTTTTAACAGGTCCTTCCACTTCCTTTTCTTCTTGTTCTAAATACAGGAGCAAGTCAAAAACACCAGCAAATGAACAAAAGAAACCTGCTGAGGTAAGAACCGGGGTTAAAGATTGATTGCTGGTAGTTTTTTGTCATGTAGTTTTCACGTTTCTAAGCCTTGAAATATTGAGCTTTGAACTAGTGCCAGTGGGTCCTTTTGTCACCTGTCAAATCCTCTGTGAAACTGTGCTTTCCCTACTGCACGAGTATTATAGGAACTCTGGTGTTTGATCTCCCAAACTGACTTATGGCATTTGCAAACAGTAATATGTAGGTTTTTTTTCTTCCCCTGAAATTTAGTCTCATTTTGAAATTGAAAAAGCTGGGATGTTCTTATGATTTGAGAGCATGCCACAGAAAGAAGTGGTTTGTGTGTATGTGAAGGATACTTTCTGCTTCAGGATAAAACAGTGGGACACTTAAGTGGGCAGGGGATGTATGAACAGTGCTTACTCATCTTCTGCCACTTTCTCACTCTTGGCTTTTTACCTTCAATAAAGCTTTTTTACTCTGCCGTCACCACCTGTTAGGACCTCTACACCTATCACCACTGTCACTGGGTCTGTATTCCCCAACTGAATAAATTGGCATTTATACACACTTCAGTGCTCAAATCCATCCTATCAGCCATTCCACCAGTAGCCCTTCTTGGAGAGGATTTGTTGTCTGCCTTCTCCAGTTTTGATGCTTGCTTTCTTAAGGGCTGAAGTCACATAAGTGCAAATGGGAGAAAGGTTTCTTGTAGCTAATTCCCTTTACTTGCTAACACATTCCCTCTGAATGAGTCCTTCAGTATGGTAGTATGACTGTTGATGCCTGAGGTTACTGAAAAAAAGACTGACAAAACCCACTTTGCTTCTCTAGAATTTAAAGCTGAGTGTTATGTCCCAGAATTAATTTTGTGTACTATACCAGCAGCTTTTTACCTGCTTAGATACTGTCGTGAGAGGTTGCGTAACAGGAAAAGCTATTCAGCAAACATGCTTCATGCTTCTTTTCTAAATGCTGCTAACTAGATGAGTGTGGTTTGGTAAGAACAAGGTAAATGTTACAGAACGTGTCCTTCCTTTTGGAAGCTTAATTTTTATCTCATAAGTTAATTGAAGAAAACTCACCAATTCTTTTCTAAAAAAGCATCTTGCCTGACTGTTTCAATAAAAGCAAAAAAACGGCCAGAACTACCTACACAGTGTTTTATTTACAACACCAAAAAGGTTAAGAAAAGCCTACTACACTTTTTTCTTTAAAATGTTGGTGTGAGGATTATGGTTCTGTAAGAATTTTAATCTTAAACCAGCTTGTGGCTACTGAGGTCTTGCAATTGTTGCTCATGTGTGCCTAGGCAGTAGCCTTGTTGCTAGCCAAGCTGGGCAAGTGGGAACTGAAACACGTACACTGCCAGACTTGTTGCTGTTTCAGATACACCTCAGTGCCAGCCCCTTACCAATCCCTTCTTCCTGTCCAGCCATCCAGCTTTCTTCTTGTATCGCTTCCTCTTAGGGATTGCCTTATTACTGTTTTCTTTGCCTTTGCTCCATGCTGTCTTCGTGTGTGTATATACATTATAAACAGTCATTATGAAGATGTGGTCCATGTATTAGCATACAGGTGCTCTGTTTACGTAACTTCTAGGAATTAAAATGAGCAGTGTTTTCAGTTCCTCCTCTTGAGATCTTCTTTGCTGCTGTCTACCTGTTCCAAGACAAAATCTTGATCCCTTTAATGCTTGGAAATATGAAACTTTGAAGAACAAAATCTGGAATATACACTTGCAATTAAAAAAGTGTATCTCATAACATCATCCTTCCAGTAATACTGGCATCTTTTTGTCATCTTTGATTTGCAATCTCCCTCCTGGGAAAAAAAAAAAAAAAAAAAAGGAGAAAAAACAAAACAAAGAAGTCCCAAACCTGAGAATATGTTCTTTTCTGGAGGAGTGTCCCAAGTACAGTATTTAAAAGAACGCTGAAACAAACAAACAAAAAAAAAAAAATCGAAGTCCTCGGGGAAAGGGAATGGAAAGGACGATGACAGTAACAATCTCTACCTCTTGTACATAAGACTGTTGACTATCCTTCCAGTTTTTCCTTTCCTTCTGCTAGAAGCAAAGCAACTGCTTCTTCCAACCTCTTGAAGAGCATATGCTGGAGAGTGAATTACATGAAGTGCTGTTGTCAGCAGAGCATTGAAATTGATTATTTATGCACCAAGTGGTGACAAGGGTGTAAAGCAAAGACTGAAAAGAGACCCCACCACACACCCTTCCAAAAATCATGTTGTAATTCCACAAGTTTTTTGTAGTAATAGTCGTCTAATATCTATTAGATAGAAATTTAAAATTGCAGGCTGACAGCATCCCTTTAACAAGGGCTCTCTTTAACAAGTTGGCATTGCTCTCCTTTCATTCACCTCTGCTTGCCAGGCAGCAGGCTGTTTCTTGAGTTAGTGATGTAGAAAATCTAAAAGGTCAAAGCTATAAATAGCTGTTTGGGAATATTTTTGCTTGTGGTCTTCATGGATTAATTTTTCTTTCATGCCAGTAAGCCCAGCTTTCTCAATTAAATTGCATGTGAATACATAGGCTTTTTTCCACTTCCTCAACCATCTCCAGCCCAACCCAAGTACCTAGGTTCTCTCTCCAAAGAGAAGCTCTGTTTCACTACTGTAGCCAACAAGCAAGTTAGTGTATCTGTCAGTCGCTTCACAGGGCCTGTCTGTATGTGCCATGGTCCTCTGTGGTCACCTATAAAAAACGATGAGTGGCTGCATTTGAGGATTGCTCTGCCTTGAATTGCCTCCCAGGTGCTCGGGAATTGAGGGCGGGTGTGGGGATGGGCTCAGGGAAGCGAGACAGTCTGGTGTTACTGCCAAAGGGCTGCGGTGTTGGAGTGCAAATGTCAAAGCCCATTCCCAGAGCCTGATTTATCCCAGGAGTTCAAATCAATGCAGAAGGGATGTTACTGGGTCAGACCTGGGGTCTTCTAACCTCGTTCTCCTCCTTGGAGGAGGTGAAAACAAGACGAGCCTGTAACAATGTTTGTTCAGACCATGGTGTTTCCTTACATCATTGCAAAAGCAGGACTGGCTCTTGGCGCTCCCCTTCTGGATTACAATCTAGCACAAACTACTGAAATGGTGACTAAAAAATTCTGCTGTCTGATTAGCTTTAGTGTTTACTTTAAATAAATAAATTGTCTTAAGGTTACAGACACAGCAGCAATAGAAGTCATAACAGTTTTTCAGACCTTTATGATGATGTTGGCCTCATGCCATTCGTGGTGTTGCCCCTCATGGATTTAAACATGGACAGGAGGGGCTCGCAGGCCTAAGCAATAGGCCGGGTGGGAGTAGCAGGGTAGGGAGGCATTTGAATGTCTGGCTCAGCACGAGGCCTGTACTTTGCAGTTTCCTGTCTCTGTGGAAGCTGCAGCAGAAAATTATAGTAGTAGGAACCATTTTTGCTGGGAAAACCTGTTAGCTGGATTGTCTAGAACAACTGACCGTTTCTTTCCCCTTAAGCTAGTGGGGTCACAAAAGAGCCTAAGAGATTGTTATGACACTCAAGCTTATATATATATATTTAATTTTTTTCAGCCCTCTCCCTCTTGAAACTGTAAAGGAGTTAAGTTAGCGTTGTGCTTTTTTTAACCCTTCCTATATAAGATGGCAGTATTTTACCTCGCTTTGCAAATAGGGTTTTGAATCGCACAGAAATAGTAGTTTTTATCCCCTCTTGCTCATAGCAACAGCTGCGTTATCATGTGAAATGTAGCTTGTCTTCTACAAGTAAATGGTCTGCTTTCATTACTTAGTATGTGAAACTTTTTTTAGTGGCATTTAACTGTCACATAAATCATAGGTCTTGATCCTGAGGAGCACTCTGTAATACTAGACTCTTGGCAGAAAATGGGTTCTTTTTGCAGTTTGAAAGTGGTTGGTTTTGTTCTGTGAATGAATGGGTAATGTGGTGAAATCAAATTGGTTTGCATGTACCATGCATAATAGAATAGGAAACTATTACCTTTATGCACATGCTTATCTTGGAAAATTCTGAATTAACTTGGACATCTGTACAGGCTTCTCAAGACCTCTGGCAAATGTGCCTTATACATTTAATTGATCTGCTTTTTAGCCTGCTTGGGCTAGTTGATACATAAAAGCATTGTAATTATTTCTTTTTTTTTTAAGTTAGAGGTGAAACCTCATTGGTTTTGGGCTTTTTTTATTGTTTTTAATTTTTTTTTGCTGTGAGATACTGTCTCAGGCTATTTGAACTCTCTAGCAAGAGGTGACCTGAATGCATAAGGGCGTGGAAAAGCTTGCTTGTGTACCAGCTGAGCTATTTTACCTTTGGAAGTGAATGAGCGGGCATAACAGTGAAGTATGAATGGTCTGGAAACAGCAGATACAGAGCTTCAGTCCTGCCCATCCTATGGTGAGGAAAGGTGGGGTGGGAGGGGAATGAATAAGGCCAAAAGTTAGGAAATCTGTAGCAATTAAAAGGAGATCCTTTCCATGCATCATGTAATTAGACTGTGAGGCTCATCTGCTACAGGAAGTTGTTGAGACTGAGAATTAAACAAGATTAAAAAAGGAATTGGACAGATGATAATGAGTACAAATTTTTCTAAATATCTGTATAAATTAGTACCATTTTAAAAATTGATTGTTAGGATTAATCCCAAAATCCAAAGCTTATGTCTGATTAGCAACCAGAAGGAAACTTGGCGTGTTCTTGCACATTCTTCTGGCTCATGAGATACTGTCAGAGACATGATGTTAGGTAGGGTTGATTTAGTATCTGATTTCCTGGCTCTTCCTATACGTTCTTGTAAAGGAGGCTGGGAAGATTCATGGCTGCTTTAAAAATATAATATTTCATTTGCTTGAGTCCTGGATAATCCATAAAAATAGTTTTAGGGGGTAGGGGTTTGAACATTAGGATTTACTTTAGTGCACGTTCAAACTGTGTGGATGTTTGAGAACTACAAATTTAGTGCTGCACTTATTCCTATCTGTCTCAACTTTTTTAACATTTTAAGTTTTTCAGT